TATTAGGGTTTATAATAGGAACCTGCAAAAAAGTGGGTTATGTGTTCTTAAGGTAAGGAGAAAGCGGTGTACCACGCCCAAACTCACGAGCCAGTCGCAGACCTCCTGAAGACTGCACAGGGACGCTGCAAGCGACCAGCGTCCAGATCCGCAGCCTGCTGGGTTTAGTGTTTTCGGCTTAGGGGTTTAGGGTTTAGGGTTTAGGGGCTTAGGGGGTTTAGGGGTTTAGGGTTTAGGGTTTTAGGGCTTTGGAACTTGAGGCGTCGAATGAGCAAACACTGCAGACCATGAACTCTCAACCCGAACTCCTAGAAGCCCGAGAAACCCTGAACCCCTCGACTCCTAAACTCCTAAAACCACGCTGGTGGCGAGGCCTCCGGCTTTGTGTGAGCTGTTGCGCCAGGTTTTACATCGTCCTACTACCTCAACTATCCAACCCCCTAAACCCTAAACCCTAAACCCTAAACCTTAACCGATACGATTGAGGGTCTATGGGGTCGGGGCTGGCCCCTGGCGGACGAAGACAGGCGCGCGCCATACTTGAAGGTCAAGGGCTCGACAGACCCCAAAACCCAACCACCAAGTTTCTTCTGGTGACGACGCGAATAGCAAGGTAATGCGCTTGCAATGCAGCAGTAAGAAGAGTAGGATGACACTGACAAGAGCGACAGGAGTAGCAAAAGTCTTGAATGCAAACGTAATAACACGACGAAACACGATAGTAATAACTGCAAACAAGGAACCGTAGCTGAATCATCGTCAATAACATCATCATCACCATCACCATCACCATCATCATCAGCAGCCCAAGCATAGAATCACCAGACACTCTCGGCTGATGCGCTACGTGGGCACTGCAGCCTCCAGCAGCAGTCCCGAAGGACACCAGGTCCCACTGGTGGCCTTGCAAACTCTCGCCCTCTTTTTGGGGTTTAGGGTTTAGGGGTTTAGATTTAGGGCTGACAAAAACAATACGTACAGTGGGTACAGACACAAATACACGTGTTTGTAGATCCTGGCCCTGGGGCACTATCTACTCTTGTGCATACATGTGTATGACAAGGGGAATATGCGTGCATGGGTGAATAGTAGCAGACAAGCCAGCAAACATGTATGTATGTATGTATGTATGTATGTATGTATGTATGCATGTATGTATGTATGTATGTATGTATGTGTATGAGCATAAGCAAATGCATATGCATATGCATATGTATATGTATATGTATATGCACATGTATATGTGTATGTATGTATGCATATATATATATATATATATATATATCCCTACAAAACCTTTCAACCAGTTATACCCTTTAAGAGCCCTTCAAATGAACCCTTTTTGAAAGGAGCCCTAGTCTGATCATGAAGGCCCCTTTTTTTCTCGGGTATGCTTTCGGAGGAGGACCTGAGCGTCGTCGCGAAGGAGCTGCCTTTGTCCATCCGGGTGGAAGTGGCAAACTGGTACTTCATCCTGCCAGGTCCGGGGTCCAAGATTGGCATCTTCAGCTCCCCCTAAACTAAGCCCTAAACCCCAAACCCGAAACCCTAAACCTTAAACCCTAAACCCTACCCTGGACCCTAAACCCGAAACCCGAAACCCTAAACCCTGAACCTGAAACCCTAAACCCTACCCTAGACCCTAAACCCTAAACCTTAAACCCTAAACCTAAACCCTAAACCCTAAAAGGGGGGTGCGGGGTTCGCGGTTTTGTTTAGTTTGGCTTCAGGGGCCTTTAGGGTCTGGGGTTTCAGGATTTTTCGGCTCCAGGGAAGACAGTGTACCATATCCTTCTTTTGCTTAAAGCAGCTGCTAGTAGTAGTAGTAGTAGTAGTAGTAGTAGTAGTAGTACTACTACTACTACTACTACTACTACTACTTCTACAACTTCTTCTACTCTAAATCTTAAGCCGCTACTACGGCTGCTGCTAGTTTGCATTTGTTGTGCCGACTCCAGGTGGTCGCAGCTGGCCGGAATACCTGGAGACGCTGAAAGCAAGCCACGCCAAGAAGATTCGCAGGCACGGAGGGGTCGTTAATGCAGAGGCCGGAAGAACTAGTCAGAGGGTTTAGGGTTTAGGGTTTAGGGTTTAGGGGGAGGCCAGAATAATTAGTCATAGGATTTCCTTCTAGTCCTTGCACCCCCCCTCCAAAAAAAAAACTCTCTTCGAATGATTCAGGTACAGCAAGCAGCCCGAGAAATGCGGCTACCGAGCAGCTCGTTTCAGAGCCCATGGCTCCTAGGGCTTCGGGTTTCGGGGTATTGCAGTCTTGTATTTCGAAGGGGCGCTTGCGACAAGGAGCGAAGACAGACAGTAGACTCTGCGGGTTTGTGGTCTTCTTGAGGCTTGAGTTTAGTAACCCCCGATCCTAAATCCAAGGCTTTCAGCCTTGATCCCGGCTCCTAGACCGAGCCCCAAGCCATAGACGCTAAGCCCGAAGCCCCCAAGCCATCAACTCTAAACCCGAAACTCCTCCAATTTCTGGCAGCCTAAACCCTAAACCCTGAAACCCTCAAAACCCTAAGGCCTAAACCCTAAACCCCTGTGAAACCCTCAAACCCCCTACTGTAGAAGTGTCAATAGTTAGAACTGGGTTCGCGGGTATATACTAAAAAAATACAATAAGTATAGGTACCCTAAACCCTAAACCCAAAACCCTAAACCCCTAAACCCTAAACCCTAAGCCCTAAACCCTAAACCCTAAACCCGATTAAGGGCCCCATTTGTTACTGGGGAAAAATGCACGAGGTCGGACTGGAAGATCCAAAGCACCTGGAGGCTGATGCGGTGGATCGGTGCTACGACCTCCTCTGTGAGACGATGCTGAGAAATGGGGATCGCCAGTTCTACACAAAGGATAGGGCTTTGGGTTTAGGGTTTAGGGTTTGGGCTTTTTTGGTTTGAGGTTTGGGGTTTAGGGTTTCGGGCCCTAAGCCGTGCGGTTTCCCCAAGCCGTGCGGTTTTGGGTCTAATAATCCAGCCGTTGGGGTGTATACTCAAACTCTGAGCTGCGGGTTCTCAAACAGCAGAGTTGTTGTTTGGGGTCGGTTCGTGTGGTAGAAGTCCCTAGAAATTTGCTGGGGTGGGGATGCGCATGGCCTACGGAACTACGACTCCTTGGGTTTAGGGGGTTTATGGTCAAGGGTTTAGGGGTTTAGGTTTATCATGTTCAGATGAGGCTTCGGCAAGCTTTCCTAGCTTCATCGAGACCCGGTGGAGGTATTTGTTGCTTTGTCTATGTCGTCGGCCCTGAACTTTGTGGCAATAGCCATGGCAAAAGTTGCCCTCGCCCTGGAGGAGTCCTTTACGCAGCACTTCCGCTCGCTGCCTGTTCTCATAGCTCGCAACAGCAAAGGTATCCTTGGTGTCTTCGTTGCATTTTTTTAAGGTCGTGTCAGTGGCTACAAGAGTTTCAACCAGTAATTGCTATCAGGTTATATGAGACATTTTTTTTGTCTTTTGCCTGGCAGCCTGGGTTTTGATCCCTTGCGAAACTGGGAAGATGATCTCATGCCAGGCTTCTACAGTGGCGCAGTGATGGGCCATGATCATGACGCTGACCTCCGGAGCTACTCCGTGTACCACAACCTTTTCATAGAACATGCCGGCACCCAAGTGTGAGTTTGCTCCGTATAATGATGATTACTAGCTACCTGGTCTTTGTTGCAAAGGCCCCCGGAAAAAAAAAAAGCAATGCCGGCCCTTCGTGAGGTAAAGAACGGCTTCGAGCAAGGCTGGGGCGCGAACCTTCGGGCCGTTTAGGGGTTGGAGGCTTTACGCCTGAGGGCTAAGGGTTTCAGGGCTTCGGATGTCTCCCAAACCCCTAAGCCCTAATGTAGAAGCCTACATAGTAGGTGCCAGGGCTCCTGAACTTAGGCTTCGTTTCTACTCAAACATATCCCCCAAACCCTATTCTGTCTAAACCCCAAACCCTAAGCCCTAAGCCCTGAACCCCAAACCCTAAGCCCCAAACCCAAAGCCCTAAACCCTAAACCCTAAACCCTAAACCTTAAACCCTACACCCTAAACCTTAAAGCCCCAAGTCAGGGGACGAGATGATCGACCTGGGCACGGCTGGTGACGACTTCAAGCACGAGCTGGGAGCGCAGGCTCCCCGAGTCCAGACGGTTTAGGGTTTAGGGTT